GCCCCGGGGGGGGTACTCCCATATATTTGCTATACGGGGACGTGCCGCTGGCCAGGGTATGGTTTTTGGCCTTGCTGTCTTAAACAGGGTATACATTTCACCCGAAATTGTCTTAAACAGGCTCTACAATTTAGATAAAAGAGACCGATATAATTTTTTTGTGTGTCTTGGACAGGGTAATATTTTCATAACACCGTAGAAATACCGTTTCACTGTCCCAGAATTAACGTGTTATCAAAAACTTCTTATTGTCTTTGATGGATGTCAGTATAATTGCAGTTTTGATGGTTGCGGCGTAGATAGCTATTCCTTATTTTTCCGATTTGTCTTGAACAGGGTATGGATTTTTACTTTTTAGTGTCTTAAACAGGGTCARGGWTTTAGACCRCTGGCGGCACGTACCTATCCAAAACGGGGTCGAGTACCCCCCCCGGGTGGGATTCATCGTTCGTTCAATACTAAACACGTTAATTGGAGTATATTTTGAATGTCTCACTCCAGTGATCACGGCACCACCGACACATGTTTGCGGAGCCTTGCCTGTTTTTTAACAACATTGAAGAAAATATTAAAAGCTGCAGTACTGCACGATCGCGACACGATGCCGGATAAGATGTGATCTGTCTTGTCACGACAAATCAGTTAAAGCATTTAGTTTTTGAATTGACTTGTACATTTTACACATTGTTAATGGATAGCGTAATTGCATGCAATATAAGGAGCCACAGGCAGCTTATTATTTTGGGAATTGGGTATTATTAACTACGAAAAAGCAGTCGAGAAAGTGGATATTTTAGCTTGTTAAAGGATACATTTCACACTAGCGATGTATCACCCTACAAATTATACGTTGATTTCTAACTACGTCTTTGATACCTGAATACTAGGCTTTAGTTACTGATCTCATTTTTGGTACCCATGGATACCCACACCCTCAACAAATATAAATTAACGTAACTTAGGAAGACATGTTTACCGCTTTTTTATTTCTATATGTATCTTATTATTAATTATCATTATTTTCAACTATCACTATTAAAAAAAAACAAACTTCACACGAGGCTTTTAGTAACGTCTCGCTGCACTTTGCGTGACTAGTGTTTCCGATGCAAGACCAATTTTGCAGTAATTACAGCTGTTATTGTAGCAGACTGAGCTGAATTTCAAGCTTATAGTTCAGTCATTTACGATCGATTATTATATTTAGGTTATATGTGTTTAATGCCGATGTTTTCAGTTATTAGATACAAACCTGAAGCTAGCGTGTTTATCTCTTTCTGCACTTATAGTGCATGGACACGTCACAGACATTAATTTAAGTAATAAATCAACCGCATACAATTACAAAATAATCGAGATACATAGCAAAGTCATTTTAATCGCATGTTCTGGCGTTTTTTATAAAATAAAATTATGTTAATCATATTACAATTATATAAAATTTTATAAAATAGAATAAAAGTAGAACTAGAAAGAAAAAGATAGTAGAATAGTGTGGACCTCAATAAACGTTTGGTGACGTAGCCCCTAAAGGAGGCTTATAGAGGTCATTAATTATCGTTTACCCTTCCCCCTGAAGGTATGAATTTACGCGCGCTCGCAAAAGCAACGACCCCATATTAGCATTTAGCTCGTAAACAATTCCCAGTCGTAGCGTACATAGGGAGAATCCAGTTCCTTCGTCGATCTTTTTCGAACATCAACAAGGTGAACTTTCTGTAAAAAAGCATCGAAATGGTAAGAGATATTTCTGCAAATTTCATTGACTCAAAATTTATTATGGATTGATTTTGAGCAAGCTGCCCTTCTCCACCCAATCCATATACAGCCTGTTGTAGTTCTCTTATGCGTTTCTTCGATAGCGCGAATGCATATCAATTCACGTCGGCCAAGCGGGAGTCCAGATGGGGAACGCCTGTTGGGAGTTGTACTGTCTTGAACATGGTATCCAACCAGATGGTCAAATGCCAAGTGACATGACTCTTGGAGGGGGAGATGATTCGTTCAATACTTTCTTCAGCGAGACAGGGGCTGGCAAGCATGTTCCTAGAGCAGTGTTTGTCGATTTAGAACCGACGGTAGTTGGTAAGTTTAATTTATTTTAGTATTTCGTTTTGATTTGCAGTTTTTTAATACGTGATTACTTTTGATGGAAAAAAACTCAAAGCGTATTAAATATTTACCATAAACAAACTTCATCAGCGTCTTTTAAGCCTAATTCGCCAAATAATTTAGAGAGTACATGGAAACATTACGTGGCTTTTTGAAAATACACAATCGTATCCATAGAAATAGATTCAAATGTAAATTAGAAAGTATTAATTAAAAAGTTAAATTATGGAATTGAAACAGGAGACATGGCTGAACATTGAGCTTTGGAACTTTTTTAGAGATGAATTAACTTCTTCTCCGAAATGAATTAATTTTCCATAAATTTCTTTTCCATGTGACAGCTATTTATGACGCTAGACAAAATTAAAAACTTAAAAATCGCTGTAAAAATAAATACTCCGAGACCCGATTTCGCTTTGCGAAAGTTAGAATTTCTGAAAGATTATTCGCCTTCCCTAACTTTATTACAACCGCCAGAAAGACTTTCACATTTTATTTACAAAATAACTTGTATACTACGCGCGTTCTGATTGGCCGAGTACCGTGTTTGCATGACAGCATGTAAACACGGTTTTGACGTCACCTCAATCTCGGATTTGCATAACCGTCTCGAATTCTCCCAACCTACCCTCGTATTTSCATCAGGCTATGTAAACACGAAAAAAGCTAGTGGGCAAAGCATTTCTGGTATTCGTAGTAGCCAAAATGCAAAAATCGCACATTCGCCCAAATCAACATTTGTACTGATCTGATGACGTAAATTTTCCTTCCAATTCCCAGTTACTTAAAGGAAATCACGATTATACAAATTTTCTTTAATGTTTCACTGAGTACTTGGTTTGCAGTTCTGTATAAAACATATACGAGTGTATATGAAATGAAACCCTAAGTACTCAATTTTTTAAATGATTAATTTAACAGATGAAGTAAGGACTGGTACGTATCGTCAGCTCTTTCACCCCGAGCAGCTCATCACTGGAAAAGAAGATGCCGCCAACAATTACGCCCGTGGTCACTATACTGTTGGTAAAGAGATCATCGATATGGTTTTGGATAGAGTTCGAAAAACGGTAAATAAGATTGTTGAAAGGTAAATTATTCACTTCTCATCGATTTTCATGCTGCTAAGCTCTAAGAAGGAAACAATTATTGCGAGTTTTAACTTCCGACCAAAAGAATTTGAAAGTTGAAAATGTGAAGTCACCCAAGGAATGATTTGGTGCAAAATCCTGAGAGAGGGCATTACTATTTTTCTTACATCAGAAACAACATTTTCAGCTCTCAAATATTACACAAGAAAATTGTCGGACAACTCCTACCTTCGGAATTTTTTGATGGGATCATTTCGAATCGAAATCCAAAAAACTTATTCTTATTTCATTTTAAGGCTGACCAGTGCACTGGTCTTCAAGGATTCCTCATTTTTCACTCTTTTGGTGGCGGTACTGGTTCTGGATTCACTTCGCTTCTTATGGAACGTCTATCTGTGGATTATGGAAAGAAATCCAAACTTGAATTTGCTGTTTATCCTGCTCCTCAGATCTCAACTGCAGTTGTTGAACCATACAACGCCGTCTTGACAACGCATACAACCTTGGAACAATCTGACTGTGCGTTTATGGTCGATAACGAAGCAATTTTTGACATCTGTCGCAGAAACTTAGATATTGAAAGACCAACGTATACAAACCTGAACCGTCTCATCGGGCAGATTGTGTCGTCGATTACAGCATCTCTTCGATTTGATGGCGCCCTTAATGTTGACCTGACCGAGTTCCAGACAAACTTGGTCCCTTACCCTCGAATCCACTTCCCCCTCGCAACCTATGCACCCGTCATCTCAGCCGAGAAGGCATACCACGAACAGTTAAGTGTAGCTGAAATTACCAACGCTTGCTTTGAGCCAGCTAATCAGATGGTAAAATGCGACCCACGTCATGGCAAGTATATGGCTTGCTGCTTGCTTTATCGTGGAGATGTTGTCCCAAAAGATGTCAATGCTGCAATTGCTCACATCAAGACCAAGAGAACCATCCAGTTTGTGGACTGGTGTCCAACTGGCTTYAAGGTTGGCATTAACTACCAGCCACCTACAGTTGTTCCGGGAGGTGACTTGGCRAAGGTTCAACGTGCTGTGTGCATGTTGAGCAACACCACAGCCATTGCTGAGGCCTGGGCTCGTCTCGATCACAAGTTTGACTTGATGTATGCCAAACGTGCCTTCGTACACTGGTTTGTTGGCGAAGGAATGGAAGAAGGAGAGTTTTCTGAAGCTCGTGAAGATTTGGCTGCGTTGGAGAAGGACTATGAAGAGGTTGGGCTTGATTCCCTGGAAGAGGATGAAGAAGAGGAAGAATACTAAAAATGGCTATAAAAGCTCACCATGTACTGACAATTAAACTAACTTTAGTATTTTTAAAACATAAATRCCACTAAATTGTAAGATGCACTTTCTAATTTTTAAATTAGAAACATTTTTAAAAAGGTTGAAATATACTGAACTATGAGTTGATTGTTGCTCCTGTCCTTAGTATAATCACGCATATCTTAAACTCAAGTACAAGAGTGATTTGAAGCAGAACACAAAAGGCAGCGAGCCTCAGTTTTTTACAACAAAGCAAGACGAAATTTGTAGTTCTCGTGCTCCTTATAAGCAGAAAACCTGAAAACGGCTCTTAGAGAGATTTTTTTGGGGGGGMTAAGCGGGACTGTAACTCTCATCACCACATATTGCTTATTGACAAAGTGTAAGTTGCATGGGAAAAACTCGCAAAAATCTATTTGCTGCTCAAATAATATAACAGCAAATTTTAGATGTTCCTTCAACAAAGAAATCTACTACTAACTGAGGTTAAGGCCGATTTATTTAAAATGTTAATTGTTATAGATAATAGAAGCTAATTTTTGCGTTCATTTTCTTGTTGCGGTTTTCTCAACGACCATTTTCCTCATTACATTTATTTTCTCCATGTTATGTCTAGAGTAAACTTATATTTGCTAAGGATTGATGAGTGACATGCACAAAAATCTTAATTGATTAYTGATTATTGTCATTTATCTAAAGTCCCGTCTGAAATCTTAAGCATTCTTTATCATTTTTTCTGCAAACATCAATCCAGCGAGCTGGCTGTAGTGGCTGAGGGCGAAAGCACTTGAAGTCAGGTAAGCGATTATCAAATCCAATTTTCAGTGGAAGATACTGCGCCGAGACGAAGCCCTTCCTGTAAAATTGAAAGGAAGTAAATTCTGAATGCTGAATTCATTTTCATGGAATAATGAATCTGTATACTTGATCGAAAAAAGGATATTAATGTCGATCCGTTATGAATGCGCAAGGGAGGCTGAGTAGAGCGTGAAACCGTTAGAATGGCATGGCACAAAGTAGAGTCCTGTCTAGCTTTTTCACTAAAATTCAATGTAATCAGATTGCATAAATGTGATATTGGGACTCTGCAACAATTACCAGGAGGGGGGCTATTAAATTTAACTATTAACTTTAGTTATAAAACAAGCACAAGCGAGTCGACTCAACTTTAGCAACCCAAAATTCACTAAAGACGAACCCAGATGCAAGAGGTGGCTTACTCATCTGGCCCTAAGTGTAAAGAGAAAAACAGTTTCATTAGGAGCTGAAATTGTTACTGTGAAATTTGTATGAATTTGCTCCTGGCAAAATTAAAGGGATTTTACATTGGCTATATTGGCTACATTGTTGAAAATCTCACAAGCAAATGTGGCGCCCTTGGTTCTTTCAAATAATTTTCTCCTGGCAAAGGTTTTTCAAGTCTAAAAAAGGCTTATTTATATGTAACGTTTTTATGGTCAAAAAAAAATTTCATTCCTTGGTCAATTTCAATCCCACATTAACGAATTTAGCATTCAATTAGTCAGTCGCGTAGTGTGGACTTTTTATGCACATGTCAGGGACCGCGACACATATTTTGGATCTGGGGGTCTAACGACCGCCAAAGGCAGGAGTATTAAGGGGGTCTGGACCACCACCAGAAGATTTTGAAAAAAATAACTCTTGGAAATGCGATTTCCACCGTTTTAAGAGACATCGAAAATTATGAAAATTTTGAATGAAACTTAAGGCCCCCCTTTGTTAATTAGGTAATATTACTCTGAGCCCCTTATCTTGCCATCAATTTTAGGTAATGCCCCCCCTCTGGTTTTACAGCCCCCTTCCTGGTAATTATTGCACAGTACTAAACAACTAAACATGAATAGTTCCTGTTATGACAGAGGCAAAACGAAAAACCTTACTTGTTGACACGAACTCTTAATATACGTGATTGCAAATTTGGTAAGTTGGGATTAGCCATTACGTATTTCATAAACCCTTTGAAGATCTTGGGGGCTGGATCCTTGTTATAATAAAAACTCTGCATAAAAAATAACAGCATAAAAAATAACAAGAATGTTAACAAAAAAATCTTAAGCAAAATCATATAGGCAGAAATTTTTTAAAAGCTTCCATATCCATGTTAGACAAACAAGTATTTAATGGTTCTTACCGATGGTTCATATCTAGTAGGGCCAGTTGGCTCAAACAAAAAGTTTCCAAGGCTAAAAGCTGTAAAAGAAGATTTAGCAATTGTGTGCGCTTGCAACACATGGGGATGAGAACCAATAACTAGTTGAACACCCAAGTTTCTCAAATGAACATAGATTCTTAACTGAGATTCGCTAAGATTTGTTAATTGGTGCTCGACGCCCCAATGCATTACGACGGCCACGACATCAACCTTTTTCTTTGGAAGAAATAATAACAAAAATCAATGAATCAATGCAAGCAAGCAAGCAAGCAAGCAAGCAAGCAAGCAAGCAAGCAAGCAAGCAAGCAAGCAAGCAAGCAAGCAAGCAAGCAAGCAAGCAATAGATAGTCAGTCGGTCAGTCAGCCGGTCAGCCGGTCAGCCGGTCAGTCAGTCTCCATTCTTCCATCACATCCATAAGCCGAGTCCGTAATTTCTAGTAATAATAGTATAATTATATTTAGCAAGTTTAATACCTTCAGTGCAATGACATCCCTGATTGCATTTTCATCAGTGTAAATGGAAGGACCAATTGTCCCATTCCCTTGGCGAATAATACAAGTATAATGAAATCGCTCAGGGTTAACAATCATGAATATATCACAATATCCCAGAAATCCTATTGTGACACCTTTGGCTTTAATAATCAGTGGAACCTTAAAATGTGATTTCAATAGACAACGATTAGCTGAAATTTGGCGTGATTATATAACGGGGCCAAACTCCATTAGTCTCCACAACACTCGGGGTACAATTAACAATATGGACAAATGATAAATTCTTGATCGTCCATCGATGATGATGATCTCCAGCGATCCAAACCTCTGTTTTAACAGAGATCAATAAAATTCGAGGCAGGCTTGCTTAATTTTAAAATCTAAGCTCCTGAATCAAACGACCACGTACCCATTATCAAACATTTCTCCCTTTAGTTATAATATCTCCTATACATAAACACAGTGTGCAATTCATCTGAAATCATCTTCAATTCAACTGAAAATTATCCAAAAAGCGAGCAAAGTAGTTTACTGAGATATAGACAAAAAAAATATTATCTAACACTGATACTTGGTACGTACTTCCATTAGGACCCTCCCTTCCGAGTACGCGCATGCGTATTTGCGTAAATGACACAGTGTCACAGCTTTTGACCTGTATTATAGAAATAAGAAATACCTGTGGTCTGTTTTCGTTCACAGTTCCACGAGTGTAACCAAACGTCTTGATCCCGATTTTTTTAAGAAGGCTGATAGTGAAGTTAATAGGTTTTTCCTTGAAATCAGTCAAATGATTGTTATTTAACCCCATTATATTAAAACCTGCATRTCTGAAAGAAATGYGTCGGAAATTATTAAAGAACATGCAGAGTTTAAACCATGACGTGATTGATTATTATCATGGTATCAGGGCTAGCAGTACACAATGAAAGTGACAACAAAACTCCTAATAGTAATACTCCAGTTTCGATTTATAGCGAAAAACCGCTGCTTTATTTAACGACAGATTCTCTTGCGCAAAGACCTGACCAAACACAAAAGACAGCACGAGAAAATATCGCTATTACAATAGACATGAAAATTTGCATTTTCCTCGAGTTAAGACTAACTCTGCATTCCCATAAGACCTACGGTATGAGCCTTCTGGGAATTCATTGTTAGCCTCAACTCGGGGAAATGTAAATTGTTAGCGCTATTGTGCTTAAGGCATTTTCTCGATCTTTCTTTCGTGTTTGTAAGGTCTTTGCGTAAGAGAAGTAAAGTTTAAAGTCCGCGCAATTAGTTCCAGTCCGAGGCGTTAGCCGACTTCTCATACTCATTAATTATTCGGGAGGGGAAAAAAAGTGAAGGAAATACATATAACAGAAATATATTGATTTATTGCATCTCCACCAAGGTTTTCAGTTTTCATAATTTTGAATAAAGAAGCACCGTTTGTTGTTTTCCAATTCCCGAACGGCTTTCTGAAACAAAAGCTTTTCAAATTGTTTTTCTTTGCTTTTCATGGCATTCCTAATGAGCCTATTTCATAAGYTTTATAAGTATGTTATCTTTCAAGGAATCGCATCAGAAACTCGGTGGTGTAATGGTATAAGACGGCACATATAGACTGGACGGTTCGGGATCGTTTCGTGAGGGAGTCATTATATCAAAGACCCTTTTTCACTAAATTAATTCTATATTAAGTTGATTATTTCTAATAATTTGATTATCAATAGCTAGTACTAGTTAGAAAAAGCTAGAAGTAACTAGAATCAAGGTAAGAGTAACTGGAAATAAGATAGAAGTAACTAGAAACAAGGTAAAAGTAACTGGAAGTAAGATAGAATACAAGGTAGGAGTACTTCCTCTGGTATCCAGTTACTGCACGCGGTACAAATTACAATCAGGGATTGGCTAGATGCCTMATGAATAATTAATGAGTATGAGAATCTGCTGTCAAATATAACAATTATGTAAAAAGATAAATTTAACACCGTAAAAAAAGTATGTGAAATAAATAATACAYTAGTAAGTTATTTCACATACTTTTTTTACGGTGTTAAACTTTTTTTACTTTTTTTACGGTGTTAAATTTATCTTTTTATATAATTGTTTCTTTAGAAACACCGACGCAGCTCACACTAGTTTACCGCTAGTTCCCACCATGTCAAATATAACAGCGGTTATTCGCTTTGAATTAAAAAATGGAGTATAAGACAATAACATTAAATTGTCAAGACAAGGAACTAATCACAACTGGATTGTTAAATTACTTGATTCCACTTAATTTTCGCAGCACCAAAATATCGTGTATTTTCGCGACACTAAATTTTCGTGACCTAGCTATTTTCGTAACAACTAACTCTCTCTTTACGATTTCGCTAGCTGTCGTAAAAACTAAAGCCCGTGTCAAAAGCTACGATTTTTCGTGCAACTTGTCTCTTGACAAAAATATTTGGAGTTTGCACGAGACCTTGTCAAACGCACGATGTTCAATTACTATTACTTACAAATCGGTTCCTGCGCAGCATATGGGCAATTTGTCTGCGCATGCGTGTGTCACGAAAGCATCTTCGAGAATATTCTTTAGAACATGTTCTTTTTCGGGTTTTTGCTAGACTAGTTTGCAAGGTTTAACACTTTGATTGTAATAATTTCAATTAGAACCGAGAGTATACACGAGTGACTACACTGGCTATTCTTGATGTATTCCTAGGCTTTATATTTCGGTAGATATATTCCTTGAAATGATCTGAAAATATCAAAATTCATTGAGCATATGGTTTGTCTTCGTTTTGATTTTGCCTGCTGTTCAATTCAGATTTTCTACCTTACAAGATATTGAGGCGAGTTGACAATATCAATCTTTACTTCAGTGCCGATCACCCTTTGCTAATGCTTGCTTTTGTATGTGAAAATTAAAACAGTGCTGCTTTTTGCCCAACTTCAGCGCCATTTAGCACGAAAATTTTACTTTCRCCCGTGAAYAAAAACAGCACTGAGTGAATRTATTACTTCTAGTAATTCAGAAATGAAGTCATTTTTAAAATAAAAATTGCATAGCACTGATCGTTCGACGTTGTAGTTCAACCTTCGTGAATGGCTGCCGTCTCGTCGAGTTTTTAACCATTTTTGACCTTACGGATACCTCATATTTTCAAATCTCTGGTCGAGGAAATTCCTGGAGAAGGTAAATGGAGTGTTTTTCTTTAAATGTGTTTATTTTATGCAAAATCAATGTATTTTTTCTCGTGAAAAMATTCTTTCAACTTTAATGAGAACCTCAATACAAACTTTGTCACTCGCATTGTTCTTGCTTTCAATATATTAAAATAACTTTCTATTTCTACTATCGCCCGTGCTTGTGTTTATCATAATTTTAAAGCTAAAAAGCTGTAAAAGCGGGTGGGTATAGTCAAATTATTGAATAAATTGCGTGCACTTTTGTAAAGCACTATCAATATGGTGCACATGTGTTGCTGAGTGAACTGTGTTGTAAGGTATGAATCCCTGGAAGCAAAAAAAAAATTCGTCGACATAAGATCGAATATGCACTTGGCTGACTTTTTTCCCCACAAACTACACAACCACTCTTTGACCTAACAAACTAGGTAGAATTAATAAACAATCAAAGCGAAGCAAGAAAGAGTAAACTGCGAATTGAGACCGCCATGATAATTTTTTGTTTACTTCACGCTCATCTACAAAAGGGCGCGAATCTGCTGGCGGTAAGCTAMGCGGCCGTCCATGTGCCCTTTCGCGCGCATGCGCAGACAGAATGCCTACATGCTTTCCTGCGCTCTAATTGTGTGAAGTGACAAGTTGCATGACCATGTCACACGTAAATTTTTACGAAAATTATTACAGAAAGTAGAAGTCTGTTCTACTTTGGCGCACCAAAAAAATATTAAGAGATTATTAACCGAGCGCGAGGTCTGTACGGGAAAATATCAGACCGAGGTCTTGACAGTACGGACCGAGCGCAACTCGTGTTATATGACTTTTACATCGTAGATTATGTAGAAGAATTACTCAAAGTATATAGGAAAAGTCTCACTGGTCAACTTGCAACCCGTTGCCTCCCTCTATCTGATGGCAACGCTTTTCTCAAATATCTCACGATATGAGTAAAAAAATCATCATATTTTCCGTAATTGTCGGCTAAAAAGACGGGGATTTTTGCTCCTTGTTTCATAGATTCAGTTTATTTTCATACACAAATACAGTATTTTACGGATTACTCACATATTTTCACTGATTCTTCTATCGTCGCGGCCACCAGTGTAGATTTGTTTACTTTTTCGAAGTAGATGTCTCTCAATATAGAATTACAATTTCCTTTCTTTTCCAGCAACCGAGAAGTCATTGAATCGAGGAAAGTTGTCTTTATAAGAGGAGGATTTCATTCTTGCCAAGACACCGGTTTGAATCCCTTCGGCTTTTCACTTTTGTTTTGAGTAGTTTGTGGACTTATGTTCTGGCTTCTTTTGAGCTTTTATAACTTTATTGAGTTTTTCTTCCAATGCGATCCTTCTTGAGCTATCTTTAAATTGTGGTGAATACTTATCGAGCATTTCTAAGCTGGAYTGATGCCGTGTGCATTGAAAACAACTGTACGGTCAACTCGGAAAAGAGCGGGAAAGTCAAGTGCTAAGACGCGAGCGCGGACAAAAAGGCGGGAGTAGTTGAAATTGAGTCATCTTTCTGTCAGAACATTAACAAAATGGATTTTGTTTGAATTTTTTTTATTGCAAAGAAAGTCGCAAATCTGATAAACAAAGTTGTCTTGATTCCCTCGATCCAACTTACTGCACGACCATCAAATTAGCAATTTCCGGTCCGGATACGGAAAAAGACGGACCCGCGGTGTGGATACGCGATTTCACGGACCAGTTTTCAGCCAATCAGAGCGCGCGTACTATCTAAGTCATATAATAAATTCGATTATTATATTTTAAATTATAAAGTAAAAACTTTCTTAAAAAATCTATTTTGATTATGTGTAGACTCAGTAGAGTCATAAAGAGAGCAAGAAATGACTTCACATAGCATCCCACATGGTTGAGAAGACATTATTTTCCTCGTATATATTGTATGCGCTACCCAATGGGTAACGGGACATTACCGGGTATATGAGCGGACAAAAGATTAGCAAGGGAGGGGTGGTTTAGGCCATTTGAAGGTACAGGTGTGGGAGGGGTGGTACAATGATTAGTGAAGTCATCACACAGGAAACCCAATATGAAAAAACTTGTACAGACAATGACGTAATTACACAGGGGTCCCAACTAAAAAAGAAAGTTACGAAGGTTCGC